GCAAAGCAGCATCCCTGGTCATCAAAGAAGATCAGGGCAACACAAGCGTTGGGTCAGGAAGGTTGATGGAGCTGTATCAACATGGTATCACTTTCTGCCATGCTTTGCAGAAGGTAACTCTGCTGCTAATGGGCTAATTGTAGCAGATTCTTTCTCATTTTTCACTGCCAGAGTGTCTTCAGGAAGCTGGATCAGCTCTGCAGGCTGTAGAAAGATCTGCTTTCAGGAGATGGACTTTTAAACCGAAAGAGGGGAGATTTTCGATGAGATCTGAGGAAGAAATTTTTCACTCTGAGGGTGGTGAGACACTGGACCAGGTTGCCTGGAGGAGTTGTGGCTGCCCCATCCCTGGAAGTGTTCCAGGCCAGTTTGGATGGGGCTTTGAGCAACCTGGTGTAGTACAGGGTGTCCCTGTCCATGGCAGGGGGGTTGGAAGTGGATGATCTTTGAGATCCCTCCTAACTCAAACCATTCCATGACTTGGGTCTCTTGGAAAATCACCTGCAGGATGACAGCTCCAAGGTCTATTCACAGCAGGGACACTTTGACCCAGGTTATCTGCAGATCTAAGACTGTCCCATCAGCGATTCCTCAGGGATTCCCCAGGAGTAAGAAAAAATTACCCAGGATGTGGTTTCAAAAGCATTCGAGGTGGAGGTTGTATGGATTTTTTGTTGTTGTTTGATTTTGTTTCTTCGTTTTATGTGAATTTTTTTGGTCATTTGGGGTTTTTTTTGATCATTTGGGAGGAAGGAAAAAAAAAAAAAAAAGAAGGTTGCCTCATAGTTATTTTGGAGAACAGAAACCAAAACTACAAAAATCCCGGGGTGGTTTCTGTTCGAACTTCAGTTCCTCGTGAAGAACATCAACATCACGTTGTTGTGTCTGTTCTGGTAGAAACGGTTATTCCGAAGGGGCTGCTGCTCTTCCCGATGGATCTCTCTGCTCCCTGTGGGGCATCTCAGACACCAAATCCCTTTAAATGATCAGATCCCATCACCTGTCTTCATCTACCCCATCTGTTCATCTTGTCTCCATCTATTCTGTCCATCATTCCGTAGGATATTGTCTTCTCCTTCCATCCGCTGCGTCAAAAATGTCATGGATCACTAAGGAACGGGAAAGGACAGTTGGGATTAGAAGATTGTCTTGATTCTTGGCACAGGAATGATGCCAATTTCCATTCTTACGGAGTTTTTTGAGCTTATTCAAAGAAGGTCAAACTCATTTTGGGGAACTCACCGCAGCAGCCACACGAGAACATGAATATGAAAAAACTAAAATCATCTACGGGTTTGGTTTCTCCTTAAAAAAAAATCAGAGTCTCCAGGGTTCTTCCTGGAGGACACCTAACATCAGGTTTGTGGTTTCTCCACATCTAGCCACAACACAAGAAGGTCTGATGGAAGGTGGGGATCCATCAGACGTTTCCAAGAGGCTGGTCCCACTGGCATTTGGAGATCCTGGTCTCCAAAAAGGATCTCCTTTGTCTTCCACATAACCCACGGGGTCTTTGGGTTTGCCACGCTGGGTGAGATGGGGGCAAAGAGACTGGTTGATGACTCTACAACCACTATAAACCTCACACACACCAAGAACACAACTCAAAGCAGCATCCCTGGTCATCAGAGAAGATCAGGGCAACACAAGCGTTGGGTCAGGAAGGTCGATGGAGCTTTATCAGCATGATAAAGCGCCAAGGTTTGGGGCCAAGAGCGCTTCTCCCCATGTGCTCACCCCTTCTAGGCTCATCCATGAACTCGTTAGGGAATTTGACCTGAATTTTGTTATTTAAAAATAATTAAATTGCAGTCGCTGACACCTCTTGACTTCTGGCTGCACGAGGGACCTGCTGATGCCACTGGTTTCATAATCAAGCTCATTGATTTCAAAACAGATTTTCTAGATATTCCTCTTCGGGGTTTGGCCACCAACTTGCTCAGAGCCAGTTTGTGCTGTCACCTCCCTCCTGGGTGGGAGGAAGAAACTTTCATGCTGGTTGCCAAGCGCCTTCACCACAATCTTCGCTTCTCGTCTTTTCTTCTCTCCTTAGTCCTCCTCCAACTACTCCTGGTAGTAGGTCCCCTGAGCGCCAAGAGGTTCCCATGTTTCCCTGAGTACTGCCTTCACGACAAAGACTACGAGGAGCTGCTGCAGATCGCCAAAGATGGGCTGGAACCCGCAACTCATCCGGCCAACGTGGTCATCGTCGGCGCGGGAATAAGTGGACTCACAGCAGCCAAGTTGCTCCGAGACGCCGGCCACACGGTAAGGAGTTGCGTGAGAGCCGGGAGTGCCGTTGGGTCTTGTTTTCCTACACTAAAAGTTCTCCAGGCTGGAGAGGGAGATGCAAGGGAGTGGACCACAGTGGTGGGAGAAGGCTGAAGCTGTCGGGCTCCGATAATTTAATCCGATTGAGGCATTATTTTCAAATCCGTGGGCAAGGGACAGGAGGGGACACAGGGAAGGAGAAGCTGTGTGCAAAGCAACTCGTTTAGATGTTCCTCAAATGAACACAAACAGCAGAAGAAAAAAGGCAGAGTCTTCTTTCTCCATCCCTGAGGGGTTTTGGGATCTGGTAGAGCTATGGCTGCCCTGGGACAGCCTTGGAGGCAACACTGCTGCGAGCAGAAAGTTGGAGACAACCACCTCCAGCTTCTACAATTCTCCAACTTGTTGCAACTTGCAGCCTAACGGCGACGACGGTCGTTGCTGTAGATCAACCAGCACAAGGTTCATGAGCCCTCCAAACCTTGCCTTGCTAAGGCAGCAGGTAGTTTGGGGGTTTCAACACTGCGTTGACCATCCCAAGGTGCCAGACAAAATCCAAAGCCATGAGTTTCAAAGAAGGTTCCAAAGGCGTGGAGGGACAGGTTGATGCCTTCCTCTGGCTGTTCTCAAAATTTTGTTCTACCCTTCCAGCACAGGGAGCATCTGAACCAACACCAAGACCTTCTCATCAGAGAGTAGGTGCCCAAACATGACGCAGAAGTTAGGAACTCAGAAACTGCCCTGTGGGTAGAGGGATCTTGGCCAATACCGAGAGGGATTCGGATCTACAGATGGTTCGTTTGCTATCTGGAGGGGACCTATCCCACCCCATGGGCCATAAATGCTGACTGCCAAAGCGCCTGTGAACTCACTTCGTAGGTGGTTTGCTTAAGATGGCCGTTGCTCAAACATCTGCTATCTCCAACTCCATCCTTGTTTGCAGGTTACCATTCTGGAAATGAGCAGCCAGGTCGGTGGGCGGATCAAGACGTACCGGCCAGAGGGGCAGGACTGGTACGTGGAGCTGGGACCCATGCGCCTGCCAGCCAAGCACAGGTAAGGCAACGTCCTACTTCTCAGTCATGATCAGATGAGAAACCAGCCCGTTTTGAGGAGCAAGGCTGTGGTTTGAGATGGGGCTGAGGACTTGGGGCAGTCAGCTCCTTCCTCCTGCATCCATCTCTCCCCGAGAGCTCAGCACCTGCATAAAAGGGACAAAAATACCCTACATGGTCACCTGCATTTGGGTTGGGAGAATGAACGAAGACCTCTCATCTCGGTATCATGTCCATGCATGGTCAGACCTCCATTTTGGAAGTCACAACATCAGCAGATGGATGAGTTTCCGTCAGCACTGATGGAAATGGCCTTCCAACCCAGGCTCTCCAAGAGGGTGGAATCAAACAAGGTTCAGCCATCAGCCGAAATGCTGTGGGAAGAGGCTGTAGATGAGGCACCAACCACACCGTGTGCCAAGGAAAAGGAGGCATAGGGAACCCTGGCCTCCTACTTCAACAGGGCATTGCTCTGATTCCATCCTTGTGCAACCAGTAGCTGGAGAGAGGAGAAACCCCAGAGCTGCTTTCTCCATAGCCCCATGGTTGCTACACCGAGCTGGGAGCAGGCAGGACAACTTCAAGCAACGAAAACTAGAGATGGCAGCACCTTAAATAACCACGATCTCCACTCGGGAGCTGAAATAATATGTGGCTACACCAACATACTCAACGGGAAAGCGTCCTTTTCTAGCTTCTAGCATTCTTTTCCACTTCTAGCGTCTTGGTGGTGAGGTGTTGGGGTTTGGTTGTTTGTAAGAACTTCTCCCCATGTGCTCTCCTCTTCTAGGCTCGTCCGTGAATTCGTTAGGCAGTTTGACCTGAAGCTCAACCCCTGCATCCAGACGGATGCCAAGACCTGGTACTTTGTGAACGGCACTCGGATAAGAGCTGAGGAGGTGACTAGAAACCCCGACATCCTGAACTACACGGTGAAGCCATCAGAGAGAGGCAAGAGTGCCAGCCAGCTCTACAGAGGAGCCCTGAACAAGGTACATGTCCACGGGGAGGGGATGCTTCTTTCCAGCAATGTTGCTCATCCAAGAGACATTTCCCCCCAAGCTGTGGTGGACCTTCACCTGCACAATGGGTTGAGGAAGACTCAACGATGAGTTGAGGAAGAGTAGGGTCCACCTGCACAATGGGTTGAGGAAGACTCAACGATGAGTTGAGGAAGAGTAGGGTCCTTCCAGAACGAACAGCAGAAAGGCTCGTTCAGAAACGAGGGCAACTGATGGCAAAACAAACCCTCTTTATACACAAAACTTCCTTTCTCTGGAACAGATCCACCAAGACTTGGATGAAGCAGAAAAAGGCCACCTCAAGGCATAACTTCCCAAAACTTGAAGTCCAAGCAGCAGGATCCACTAGCTCCAGCTCAGCTCCAGCAGTTACCAAACCCCAAGATGAATCCTAACAGAATTTGAGGCAACACTTTGGGAAATCCATTTTTTTTTTTTTCTTCTCATTAATTTATCAATTTTTCCTCTCCAGGCTTTCAAGAAGTTCCAGACTATGGACTGCAAGAAATATCTAGCTGAACATGACTCCTTCTCCACCAAGGTAAAGGGCTGAGACTTGAGATTAAATTTAATCCCCCTGCTGATGATTGACCTTCAGCCTGGGATTTGGAAAGGACCCGAACCCCCTTCCTCTGTTGACACCTTCCCCAGTCAACGCTGCCTCCTACTTAAAATGCTGAGAAAGGAGCAAGCACGACTCTGGTGGAGTCGTCAGAGTGGTCCCATCGTCTGGAAGTAGGAGAGAAGCAGCAGTGGCTGGAAACACTCTGGAAAGTCATCCAGATTAGTCGTGTTCCTCCATCATTGGTTTCTTTCACGCTGCCCAACAAGCCACAAATCCTTTATTCGTTCATCTCCAGAGCTTCTGGTGCGCTAAACCAGAGGAAACGTTGATCTCCTGCAAGAAGCTACAGAGCTGCATAAAAAAAAAGACTTCTGGTCCAGGGTTTAAGCAGATCAGGAGCAGGAACGAGGCAGCAGAGCATGACTTTTGGGTTGGGATGTCGAGGGGATGTGTGCACTGAGATGACAACATCAGGCTGTGTCTTCTTCCTGGCTTTTCTAGGAGTATTTGATTAAAGTAGGAAATCTAAGCCGAGGAGCAGTGGAGATGATCGGCGACTTGTTGAACGAGGACTCTGGGTTTTATCTGTCCTTCCTTACCTCGCTGTGGAGTTTTGATGTCTTCGATGATGAGAGGTGAGGTGACGTCTGGTGGCAAAACCCCACGTGGTGCTGGTCCACAGCAATCCACCAGAAGAGGGAATTTCAGTGGGAGTGAGAACCACGCGTGGCTGAAGGGCCACCAAACTCCCTTAGCATCTCTAGAAGGAGTCCCTTTTTACGGTTCCTTCCCAACGTCCTTCCCTCACCTCCCGCTTCTTCTTCCTTTCAGTTTTGACGAAATCACGGGAGGGTTTGACCAACTCCCCAAAGCCTTCCACGAAGCGCTGCCCAACGTCATCCGGTTCAACTGCACAGTGGAGAAAATCATGACCAAAGGCAACAAAGTCCGTGTGTTTTATCGTGCTCCGGACACTCTGGCCCCGACCGTGACAACTGCGGATTACGTCCTCGTCACGTCCTCGGCCAAAGCCACCAGGCACATCCAGTTCCTGCCGCCGCTCTCTCCTCCCAAAACCCACGCCCTCCGCTCCGTCCACTACATGAGCGCCTCCAAAATAGCCTTGGCTTGCACCGAGAAGTTCTGGGAGAAGGACGGGATCCGAGGAGGACAGTCCATCACCGACCGCCCTTCCCGCTTTATCTACTACCCCAGCCACAACTTCTCCAGCGGGGTGGGCGTGATCCTGGCTTCCTACACCTTGAGCAGCGATTCGGAGTTTTTCCTGCCTCTCACAGATGAGGACTGCCTGGACGTGGTCTTCCAAGACCTGTCAGATATCCACCAAGTGAGCAAGGAGTACCTGCAGTACACCTGCGACCGGTACGTGATCCAAAAGTGGCAGCTGGACAAACACTCCCTGGGGGCGGTTGCTGCCTTCACCCCTTACCAGTTCGTTGACTACGCGCGGGCTCTCTTCCAGCACGAGGGCAGGCTGCATTTTGCAGGAGAACACGCAGCTCAACCTCATGGTTGGATAGACACGGCCATGAAATCGGCCATCCGGGCCGCCAGCAACATCCACCACGCCGGACGCTGCACGAGGAGGAGGAGGAGGAGGAGGAGGAGGAGGAGTGGGTGGGGAGTTTCTTGCAGAAGGAAGATCTCTGAGCGGGACCTGCTGGGCTGAGCTTGCTGGATGCCACCAGCACGGTTTGAAGGGGCTTTTGGTGGTGTAAATCTGTTTCTTTCCAAGCAAAATCTGTCCAGGAGGACATCAGCAGCTAAGGTGTTAAAGAAAAAACACTCAACGAGCACCGATTTTCATCAAAAAGGACTAATAACTACTTGGTTGTACACTTAGAATCATGGAATGGTTTGGGTTGGAAGGGGCCTTCAAGATCATCTAGTTCCACGGGCAGGGACATCTTCCCCTAGATCAGGTTGGTCAAAGCCTCATCCAACCTTGGATACCATGAGGATAGGAGGGGATACTAAAAAAGTAACACCTAAGTAGGGCTTCACGACTCTAGAATTGTCCTGGCTCAGAAATGCTGCAGTAATTTCTAATTTATTTGTGTAGAAAGTACTTTGGGAAATCACGAAGGTGGGATAAAGGTGGATGTTTCCCAGTTCTCCATGTCTGAAGTGCCTCCACAGGGAGAAGTGCCATCACATACAAGTCATCTGACCTCACTCCAGCCATTTAGAAACCCATCAGGTCTTCCTCCCCTTCCAAAATTCAGGAGATAACTCGTTGCTTCCAAGTCATCATCTCCGTTGCGTGGTCCAACACAACCACTCCTAACCCCTACGGGTACCAGTCAGGATCTTGATCTCCACAGTCTCTTCCACCCATCTCCCCTCTAGATGAGCTCCAAGCATGGCCAACGCCAAGTTATAGAGACAGATTTGACATCACAAAAAGCAAGTCCAGAAGCAACACAGCCTTTGCACGGAGATGTCCGTGGCTTTTACTGGAGTTTCCCCTCTCACCAGTAATTGTCCTAAACTTCAGTCTTGGAAACTCAGTGTGTGCTGAAGGTTCTTTTTTTTTTTTGGATTCTTGGAAGGATATTGATAAATAAACAAAAGGAAAAACGAGATTGTCTGCTAAGTGTGTTGCATGCTGGACCTTTGCTGCAGCTGCTTTGCATCTAATTCATCTCAATTCCCATAAAATTCTCGTAAAACTCAAACCTGCCTCTCAAACTCCTCATAGCCAGAGGGGAACAGCTCATGGTCTTCTCCAGCCCCAGAAACAGAGGTTTGGCTCTGACTAGAGGGAGCAGGGCCAGAACCGGTGAAGATCATCACACCCAGGGAAGGGTTGGACCTAATTACATCCAGCAGAATTCCCACCAGGCATTGCAGAGACAAAGACTTGCACCAGCTTAAAGCAATTAAACACAGGGTGGTAATTGAGTGAGTAGAGAGTGAGCCACATCAGCATGTTGAGGGCTTGGCCAGGTGGCTCCTTGCGAGGAGCTCAAACCACTTTTAGGGAGGCTCAACCACCTTGGGTGATGTTTTGGAACGCAGAGTTCCTTGACTGGTCTTTATCAGGTTTCTTCCATCAAAACAAATAGACACGCTGTACCCCAGTAAGCGACATGGTGACTGGGACATGACTTTGGTCTTCCCATATGACCCAAGACCACGCACATGACCTTGGATGGGGAGCGAGGAGCTGCATCGCAGCGGCAAATTGACCAAAAAGCACTTTCTTAAGCTTAGAACGGAGCCCGCCGCGATGTCGTACCAGGAAAAAAAAATAAAAATACTGTAAAACTTGAAACAGTGCAAAAAAAAAAA